AGCACACACTTCGGCCAGTTCTGTTCCTGTCCCCCCCTAAGTCGCTTCTCCCCCCCTGCTAGTTCGCCGAACATCAATCGTTTCGGGAGTCGCCCGTCCGGCTGCTTTGCCAATGCTCCCGCGAGCAGTAGGCGTCGTTGTCGGATCGTGGCTTCAACGCTCTGGCATTCGACCCTCTTCAGCGTCTGGGCGTAAGCGAGCTGCCGGTAGGTGTCTTTCTTGCGCTTGTACCCGTTAGCTCGAAGGAGCAGTCGGTGGTGTNCCACGCTCCTCTGCTCCTGTAGTTGATCTCCCGGGTGAGGTCGCCATGTTCGTTGACGAGGCCACCGAGGTACCGGAACTCGGTCGTCTGTGCGTATTTCTGTCCCGCGGCTTCGATGGTCAGCGGTGGAGGCGGGGCGGGCTGTGATGTTGTGATCGGCTTGTCCTTTGCGCGCATCAGGAGCGTCTCCGTCTTCTTCTCCGACACCGTTAGCCCGAACTCCCCGAACACCTCAACGATGATGGTCATCATTCTCGCCAGTCCTTCTGCAGACCTCGATACGACGCCGGCATCATCGGCATACAGCATCCCCCATACTGCCCTCCGTACTCGGTCAAGGGGTGTCTCCTCCCCCCCCCCCGCTTCCGTCTTCCCCTCCTCCAAGCACACCAGGCTCTGCAGAACAACATCACCCACGCTGAATCGTATGACAACGACCTCGAGGACCTCGGCGAAGAAGGTGTTGAACAGCAGTGGGGATAGCAAACATCCTTGTCACACGCCCTGTGTCACGAGGAACCAGTCCGATAGTTCTCCGTCATCCATGCGCACCCGAGCCCGCATTCCATCGTGGAATTGGCGGATGACTTCGATCCGCTTCGCGGGAATCCCGGCCCTGGCCAGCACATTCCATACCATCTCTCGGTCCACCGAATCATACGCCTTGTTCAAGTCGACGAAGCACATGTAGAGCGGTATTTTCTTTCTCCGCCCCAGCTCCTGGAGGCGGCGCACGACGAACAGCATGTCGACGGTGGATCGCCCGGGTCGAAATCCGCACTGTTCTTCCGGGAGGGTGTTGTTGGCTTCGCAGAAGGCGCTTAGACGGTTGGTGATGATCTTGATGGGGACCTTGCCTATGTGAGATAGTAGCGAAACCCCCCTGCAGTTGTTACAGTTGGACCGGTCACCCTTCTTGTACAACACCTTGATAGGTGCATCCTTCCACTCTCGCGGAATATCTCCTTCGTTCCAGACCTTGACGAGGATGGTATGGAGGTGTCCCAGGACGAAGGGTTCGT